AGTCTTTTTCTTCTCAGAAATATTTATCTTATCAGATAAATATAAATCATAATCACAATGAGATACCAGTTCATAAGTATTAGGATAACCATTGATTGGTAAGAAAGAGAAAGAGGAGAAAAAGTGGGGGAGGAAGGAAAAGAGGAAATAAGAGAAAAGAGAGAGAGGGAATGAGAATGGGAAGGAAGGGAGGGAAGAAGGAAAAAATACTGAAGAGGTGATTACAACGGGAAACCTGTACAATGCTGGTGTTAATGAAAATGGTACATCTATTGTGGAAATTACAGAAAAAAATCAAGCATATAATTATATCTAGCAGTTCCAGTCCCAAAGGAATCAAAAGTAGAAATATGAGTAGAGATTTGTACATTGAATATGCTAAGAATTTTATTAATAGTATAAAAATGTGCAAACAATCAAAAAATCAAATAAACAAGGAATGGTTCTATGTATAATAAAATACGACTCAGCCTTGACAGAAAGAATATTCTTGCAGGTGCTACAACATGGATGAATCTAGTTATTATGTTAAATGAATTATAGAGAAAGACAAAAGACAAATACTGTGTTGGTCTACTCATGTAGTACTTAGACTATTCTATATGGCTCTAGCAGAATACAGCAGATTGTGTATGTGATTCTGTATATTTTTATGAGAAGCATATTGCTTTGCAGATATGGAGACTGAGAAATTCAATATCAAGATGCCAGCATCTGGAAAGGGCCTTCCTCTGGGCTTATACCATGAGAGAGTATATCATATTGCAGAAGGGCTGAGGATGAATGTGAAAGACAAAGTGGAGCTGATCATGTCAGAGGGATGAACAGGGCTGACAGTGGGTCATGAGTATCTACTCACGTTCAAAAGTTAGAGAAGATCTCAAGCCAGTTAGCAGACCTGAGACTTTAAAGCCTGAGTTAGGTATCAGGATCAGGAGCTTTCAGGACAGTGGTCTTCAGAGAGTTACACTGCAGAGTGAACCTGCATAGCTTCAATCTCAGGTGAGCATCCCAAACCCTCAGAGGCATGGTGGGAAGATGGGATAGAATAGGGATCCTTTCAAGAAAAAGATCACAAGTAAACACAACCTGCAGGAACAAGAACTTCTGCCCTAATACTATCACTGGGGATATCAGAGAAGGACGGCAGGTTGTGGAGGAATGAAACCCAGGGTGGCTATAAGATTCCTCAGAAGATCTCCCGTTGTGCAGTTCACTCAGGCTCAGGGTCTGGCCTAGTTGGATAGGGCAGGTGGATCCCTGCAAACTATATTGTGATGCTCATTCCTTCTTGTCTATTACAACCAAGTAGCATCCCCCAATTCCCAAAAAAGTGTGCAGAGGGTGAAATAGATGTCATATCCTTGGACAGGCACTACCCAGGTTTCCACATGAACTGACCCAAATCTGAGCCCGGACCTCCCCAAGCTGCCTGTTCCTGACCAGGTGCTTGTACTGAGGTTCAGACTTCCATTTGTTTGAGTACATGACCATGTACTAATGAATGGCACAGCAGGTTGTGACATTGGAGGCTGCTGTGTGAAACTGTGGCAATGTGGGCTGCTGTCTTCCCAGTTTGTCTAGGAGGACTATTCCAGAATGTTTCACTCAAGAAGGAGAGATGCTAAGGCACAATCATCTATTGCCTGATATGTATTGGTCAAGAAAATGTCAGATGGTCTCTGAACTTTTGGGAATATCATTGTCCATAGTGAGATCAGACATCTCATTTAGTGAGGTTTTTGCCTGAATGACACAGCTTGAGCCAAACATTACCCTTGCACACTTTGCTTCAACACTTAGAGTTCTGGGCAGGACATCCTTCATGTTGATAGCTTGACCACATTCCTCCAGTTCTCTCTTTAAATCAAGCCACATCCTTAAACCTTTACAATTCTTTGGATAAAGATTTGAAAAAAATAGTTTGAATATTGCAATCATCAAGGTGATCCTAATTTTCCAGACTAGACAAAGAAGGCTGCTAAAAGCATGTGTCCCATGAGATCCCAGCTTCCTTTCTTTTCTAGACTTTACAAAATGGATCCTTCTCTGTGGCTGGTCATCCTTTGCTAGGGATTGGCCTCAGCTTTTCCATTGTTTCCTCCTCCTTTGCATGGATAATGGATGGAGTGGGAGACAAAGGAGAGGAAAAGCTACAGCACAGTGGGGGTAACATCTACGTGTTAAGAGGGACCCCAGAGACATAATTCTTGCTGATGAAACTTCATAGCCAAAGAGTAGCTTCTAGAAGCCAGATCTTATAAAGGCAGTAACCTAATGCTAATCATAGAGCACAATATGGGGTGACATCCTGTGCTCTTCTCTGACTATAAAGAATAGCTTCCAAAAGTGCACCACATCCTGGCCAGAGTCTCTCTCCAGCTTTTTCAGCAGGTCCATTTAGTGAACAGTGCTGGGTTTAAATAGAAAAAGCAATTATCACTTGTACTCTTTCCTAAGATGAAGAGGGACAGAGGAAAGTACTATGGGGGAGAACATGAAAATGAATGAATTGCACAATGCAGAATACACCCAAGGGAAACTTGCCTTTGCCTTGTCGATGAATGCCTTGGGAGTCATGGTAAATGTCGTGTGCATTGCTTGCTCTCTTCAGTTCTACACAAAATGGTCTTACATTTCAATATTTCCTTTTCTCTTCTTGGAGGACCACCAAAGAATTAAAACAGGTAAAGTATGTCTTTCAGCACGATGGGAACAATGAGGGACAGATGTATCTGGAACTTCTATTTGGTGAGCTGCAGGTATCTGTGGACTGGGGAGAGAAAGGCTTAGTGACAAGGTAATTTCTTTGTGGCTTTGTATGTCCCTCCACCACAGTATAACCCCTGTTTTCACTGTATTTGATGTTGGTATAATTTGGGGAGGGGAAGGAAAAAAAACAATTGTTTAAGTAGGGATACAGGTGGACCCATTGCACCAATGAGATGTACAAGACGTTATGTTGAAAAATGAACTTTACAACTTTGGCACTGATGGGGGACCTAAAGGTTGGAGGGGAGATGGGAAGGTATGGTAAAGGAAAACAAATGAGGAGGCAATAATGCTTGATAAGAAATGTACTCACTTGTTCATGTAATTGTAACCCCTCTGTATGGTATTTTCACAACAAAAATGTTAGCAACTATAATCTATTGGAATTCCCTATTTGATGAATAGCAGTATGCTTCTTCTGCTAGCCCTATAATGTATATTTTCAATTATCATTAGCAAAAGGTAACACAAAGTAGAGCACTGTTACCTTTTCCTCTTTTGCAGTGAATCACAATGATGTGCTGAGCATCATTGGACAACCAGGCAACGACCTCTTTGGAAAATAAAAACAACTCTCTGGTTTGAAAAAAAAAGAAATACGAGCAGATTTTCTGTTTCAAATCAAGTATTACCATTGTATGGCTATAACACAGGGATCTCTAAACACACTTATTTCTATTGAGATGCCCTTGTGACTCTTGTCTCACCTGTGTCCAGTTTATGTCTACATCACTCTGGCAGTTAAATACCTGTTCTTTACCCAGAGACAAACCCTCCTGGGTTAATCCCTGCTTTTCCAAAAGGAAGATACAAGTTCAACATACTACAGCAAGAGGAACTAATTCAAACTGAATAAGAAAAGTGTGTTCAATGAATCAGTAGCGTCTATCTGTAGAATATTGGAAGAAAAAATTCAGAATCCAGAAGAGGGCAGAACAGTTCTGTGTATGTGCATGTTTATGCAATAGTGTGTGGGTCATTTAAAAATCATGGGCAATGCCTGGATAGTACTTCTGTTAACCTGCCCTCCCCGATTCTGTCTTGGTATCCTCCATCTCAGTTCCTCAGGCCCTGCCCCAAAACCGGTTGATCAGGCCAGGCCTAAGCACAATTGGTTTGTCTGCCCTGGTTGTTGCTTTCACTTCACTTCCCAGAGTTGCATGTTATCCCTATCCTGCAGCTGTAGCCATAAATAGTTGCCCCACCATAATGGCATGCCTTGCCTTCATGTACCTCACTACTCCACACCTCACACAAACCAGACCACAGACTATTCCCTGTCCACAGGCTCTGGTTCTATGACGCAACCTTACACAAAGACAGGCTGCCATCCCTACCTGAGAGGGTCAGCTTGCCAACTTGCTGACATTACAACTTATTGCACATGACTGAATTCAGAAACACATTTTTAAAAATGTGTAAATTACATGAATTCATCTGCCTTCATTTTCAATGCAGCTGATCATAGACTATTCATAAGGAAGATTTTGCAATATACATTCCCCTCGTGAAGGCAGATGTTTGAAGCATTCTTTTTTTTTTTTTTTGGTCGATCATGGGGTTTGAACTCTGGGCCTGCATGCTATCCCTCAGCTCTTCAGATCAAGGGTAGCATGCTACCACTTCAGCTACATCACCATTTCTGGTTTTCTAGTGGTTTATTGGAGATAAGAGTTTCAAAGACTTTCCTGCCTGGTCTGGCTTTGAATCCGATCCTCAGATCTCAGCCTCCTGAGTAGCTAGGATTACAGGTGTGAGCCACCAGCACCAGGCTTGAAGCATTCTTCACAACTGGTCTGGTCAGGAGGTTCAACTGTCAGGATGTGTCTCACTGATGGAATTGGCTGTTTCTCTTTCAGTATGTCTGGTTCTTTTTGGGCCAGGGATTCATTGGCCTATAAATAACTTTGTGTCCTGGCAAATATCCAAGAGGAAGTACTGCACTGGAAGAGTTGACAGGCGCAATTCTGGGTCAAGAGCTGTGAGTGACAGGTTTTGATAAGGCTGTGCTGAGAACACAGATTACAAGGGCTCTGAGAATGGGATTGTAGAAAACTTGACAAAAGTGAACTTTCTGCACAGATTTGTCAAGTCAGTCTACAGCACAAGTGTAATCTCTCAATAGATGGGGTCAGAGGCACAGGGATGTCCATGGAGAGGTGGCAAGTGGCATGGCCCGCATGGGAAGGCATAGGGTAGCACAGCAAGCATACAGGGTGCCCAGGACGCACAGGGAGAGGTGATGGGCGCGGCAGTACGCGGTGCGCAGCAGCAAGCAGAGAGGGGCGGCAGAAGAAACAGGGGAGGGCAGCCGCTGGCAGATGGAAAAAACAAGGCAGGCGGCACCATGCAGATAGCGGGGAAGGCAGGGGATGGCAGCCACCAGTGGTGCAGCCAGCTGTGGAAACGGTTGCTTGGCCGTTTGCTGACACTGGTGGCATGGGGTGGCCCGTGGCGGGTGGCGGGTGGTGACAGTTGAGTCCCGTGGCTGTGAGTCAGCCAGGGGAGGGAGAGGCAGAGTGAGCAGCAGGGGAGGTGGCTGGGCAGGAGGCAGAAGATGGAGGAGGAAGGCAGTGGGCAGTGGCAGCAGCGGTGGAAATCAGCAGCCTGCATATCTGCAGCGCGACAGGATGCTGGGCACAGGCTCCGGAAGTGGGTGGCGAGCTGCGAGATCAGCGGCAACTGGTGACACCTATGGCACACAGCGGCAAGCCGCACGCGCTGGATAGAGAGCTGTGCGCGGTCTAAACGGCACGATGGTCCCTGGCGAGCTCTGCAGCAGGCGGCCTGTGAAGCGCTGCTTCACACAGCATGGCTGGCCACAAGCTACTGCAGGTGGCGGCCAGCTGTGGTAGGCGACAGCAAGGAGTCAGAGGCTACAGACCGTGACAGGTGTCAGGTGGTGGCACACAGCAGCAATTGGAGTGGCCAGTTCAGCGGAGGTCAGTGACTGTGGGTATGAATGGGAGCAAGGACGCCCACTGCAGGTGGGACCCTGCAATGGCTTGAGCTGCCAAATCAGGTCCCGGTTCTGGTGCCAAGACACTCCTGTGGTCTCTGCATGCTCAGAACTGTGAGCCATTGGATCCTCTGGATCTGGGCACAACCTAGGCCCTGGCACTGGCCAATACTCGACTTCTGGTCCTGCAGCTCTGGGAGACCTACCCGGCCAATCGTCAGATACTCTCCCCGCCCAGAGCTTCCCTGAGACCTCAGCCAGCTCTTGGCTCCAAGCTGCCTTGAGAAGCAGGTGGTTCCTCAACTACTCATCCTCTTGTGCCTGGAGACATTTCTTGGCCCTCAGCTGCTCAGCCCAGCTATTTTTAGATCTGTCCCCAGTCCTTTGCCCAGGTTTTCCCTGAGACCATTACTGACTATTATCCTGTCTTCCAGGGCTTCCTGGAGAGTCCAGCAGGCACTTGTACCCTTGGTCTGGGCTTCCTTGTGACCAACTCAGCAATCAGTCCCTAGTCACAGGCTGCCTTGAGATCCTGATGCACTACTCTTAGCCACTTGCCTCATGCCTCAACAAGATTCAAGCAGCCTACAGCTTGAGTGACCCTAAGACTTCGCTGGCCGCAGGCCATCCTGAGACCTACCAGATGCTCAGTCCCTCACCTCATGTTGCTGATGAGAGCCTGCAACCTTGTCCCCAGGCCCCAGGCTTCGCCAAGACATAGGAAGGCCCTAGGGACCTGGTCCTGGGCTGCTCTGACACCCTGACTGATCCTTAGCTGCCCCAAGCAGCTCTGAGACCCTGCTGGCTGGTTCCTGGCCTGTCATGCCAGCTGCCCCCCTTTCCTGCTAGACTGGCCCATAGCCTCTTGACCTGTTATTCAGATGGAGAGAAATGCACTCCACCTGCCAGATGCCCCTCCATGACCTAGCCTCAGTGCTCACTGCACTCACAAAATATGACTCCTTATCTACTTGTCCATGCTCATGTCATCACCCAAATTCTAGTAGCCCAAGGAAGAAAAACACAGGCAAGAAAATCACTAAACATGAATGGTGGCATTGCCTTCCCTACAGAGCTTTAGCATCCAGTGGCTGAGACAGCTTCTGTGACAATCCTCAAAGAAGTATTAATGGCAGATTGAGGATAAACATACTTAGACTAGGTCAACATTTCTGTGCACATTGTGTAGCCAGCAAGTTATACAAAATTGTGCCAAAGAACAGGTTCTAACAGGTTAAAAAACATCTGAATAAACTCTCTTGCCATGTTTTCTCACCCTGACAAATCATAAAGGCTTTCTGAAGTTCATATTGTAGTGACTGAATGGAGGCTCCTAAGGTGAGATGAGATATGTAGGCTGGGGTGAGTCTTCAGTGGCGTTAGCTCAGGTGTCCCTTCCTTCTCAAGAAAGAAGCTGCATTTTGGAAGACCAAATCGTGACCAGCCTTACTCTGAGTGGTGTCACAAAGAAAACACAAAATGTCTCATGAGGGAAAAGTATGTATTAAGAAGCAAGACACAATTGAGCAGGGACACTTCATCAGTTCACTGAGAATGTTCTTATACAAAAAGAGATTTGCTGTTCATGGACAGGAGTTTCTCCTGAGAAAATGCACCTTGCAAGGAACTATGTAAGAAGCACGGTATGTATGACTGACCACTAAAAGAATAAGAGGACCGTGTAATGGGAAGTGTGTATACTGGCCTGAGACATGTTTCCCTATGCTGGCAGGCATGGCAGAGGAGATACACAGGCTTTTTGAAGGCAAATCTGTCCCAGGGTAGTTATTGTTTGAGACACTCGTGTCATTAACAGGATGGCTATGGCCAGTGGGGCTGGTTGGCAAAAGAGACACTGCTGTTCTTTACTTGGCTTCCTTCTAGGTAGAAAGATTCCATGGGGTAATGAGAAAGGTGAGCCGTATGATAGTGGGAATGTTGAGAGAGGGGAGGTTAAAATACTGCTTTCTGCAATGTTTTCTTGGAGACATAAGA